CAGTGTTCCCAGGGCGGTGACTGTCAGTAGGATGAATGGGAGAGGTTGGGGAGGTGGGGAGGGTGCAAGTGCACCCACCATACTCTCCTCCTGTCCCTGAATCCCAGGTGTCTGAGTTGCAGCTGCCCCCCGGTGCCAAACTTGCTACCAACCCCACTGCCATTTCTCCTGCTACTGTCAGCAAAATCTCAGGGATGGCCAGACATAGCCATCTGTGAATGTGAAAGGCACATTCCCCAGTCAAATCCGGAGTCTCCAATTCAGACCTGGGTGCGCGTGGCATGGATCAGATGGGGGTGGTGGGGCAGAATGAAATTTTGTTGAGGCAGGGGCCATGAACATCACTGAGTCCCTCTACAAGTGACAGTGGTGGCAGCCGTCAATCTCTTGACCCTGAGACAGGTCACAACCCCAGACGTGGCCAGAGGCAGCAACATTGGTGTCACTTGGAGCAGGACTTAGAGATATTCATTGCCCTTGCTTCAGCGGATTTCCTTCTGCCCCACCACCCCCAACTGATGAATTCCCCTGGCTCCCAGGTCCAGATGTGAGGTCACAGATGTGACAGGAAAACCGCTTTCACTGCCTTGTCTGGCCTACACTGGGATTTGGTTTCTGGTGGTGGGAGAAATGGCAGTGGGGGAGGCGGCAACGTGGGTGGCAGGGACAGCTGCCACCCAGTGATCAGGGAACTCAGGGAACTGCGAAGAGGATGCTGGGCACACCTGCAGCCTCCCCGCCTCCTCGAACTTTCCCATCAGTCTTACCGACTCTCATCCCTCTGGAGCCCAATGGCCTTAGTTTAAACCCGTCACTCCAGCTGCACATGTGCATCAACCCTGTGTCTGGCCTCACAATGACCATCCTGGTTGCCAAGTGATGGGCCAGTGGGGCTCTGAGAGTGTGGGTGTGCACTAAGGCTGTGGGCAGGTGCAAGTGCAGGTGCCCTCAGGTTCACATTCCCTTCAGCTGTGTCTCACATCCCTGTCTACCCTTCTTCTCTGGTCACTGCTTGCATTCCTGAAAGTGGTTTTCCAACTGTTTGCCAACAATGGACTGGGGAGGACACCAAGGCTATCCCTCTGTCAGCTGGTTCATTCTGCGCCTGATCTTTCCCTCCAAACACGCGGCCTCACCTCAGGGATGAACCTATCAACCCAAGGAGGAACAAAGACTTTATGAAATTAGAAGGTCGAGAAAGGCTTGCCAAAGACATGTGGCCACACAGACAGGAAACCTGGGGAATGAGCAGGGAACGCACCGGGCACGCGCTTCCATCAGTAGGTCCCACCCTCAACTCTGGAGTCAGGAAAGCCCATTTTCCTGCTGCCTAGGGCACTACCCTTGGGAGATATCCGACAATAAGGGCCGAGGTAGGCCCTCTCCTGGCCCTTTCTCTGAGTGCACAGGAGTGGGGCAAAGGGAGAGGAGCACGCTATGGCTTGCCTACTTAATCCAAAGGACGGAAGCCATCCTAGCCTCTTTGGCCAAGTCTCTGTCAGTGGGTCAATTACAGAAGAAAGAGCCTTAAGTCCTGAAAGTATTCTGGCAGGTGTTGTCGGCCCTGTCTTGGGAGGAAGATGCCAATCATGTTGTGTGTGTGACACGGGAGGTACCAGCTGGCACATCTGGGTCCTGGCTGGCCATGCCCAGCCTCCCAAGAGAGGATTACAGTATTGGTGGTGATGGGTGGAGGGACACTGGCAGTAAGGGGGGCATTCTGTCATCTCCTGGGTGCCCTGGGAGAGGCAGAGACCCCTGTGGTGTGGCTCCAGGGGTCGGGCTACCTCTGGCCACGTCTAGGAGAGGGACTTGTCTCAGGGTCAATAGATTGAGGGTTGCCACTGCAATCACTTGGAGTGGGACTTGGGGATCTTCATGCCCCTGTCTCAGCAGATTTCATCCTGCGATACCACCCCCATCTGTCCATTCCCTATGCACCCGGTTCCATACTGGGGGCCACGATGTGACAGGGGAATCTGTCTTTCAACGCCATGTCTGGCCTACACTGCGATTTTGTTGGCGGTGGCAGGAGAAATGGTGGTGGGGGCAGCAGTAACTTTGGCAGTGGGGGCACCTCAGAAGCTCAGGTGTAACTATGGATATTTTGAACTTACTGAATCTTCTAATGATCTTTTTTCAACAGCCAGTTGCCACATTGCCTAAAACTTAAATTTAACTTTCATGACTTTAAAACATTTTAAATTTTAGGATGTGATGCAAAAAGAACAGAGAAGGGAGGAAATCAACCCTCACTGAGGACTGATGCTTACCAGACATTGACTCAGTCCTGTTGCACATGCGTGCTCATTCAGTCTCCACAAGAGTGCAATAAGGTGGCTACTACTATACAGTAAGGGAACTGAGGCTCATAGAGATAAAAAATTCTCCCCAAGCCAAACAGCTGCTTAATAGCAAACTGAGATTGTGCGGTTGGTAGTACAACTCCAGGGTGTGGTGGGTCCAGGGCCACCTGCCCTGACTTCATCGAGCTCCCTGCTCCACCTTTCCTGGAGAGTGTCTTGTCCCCGTCATCCAAGGTGGAGCTCCAGGGACCACATCAGTGGTCCATGCAACAGGAAGGAGGAATCAGGGAGACTGGGCAGAGACAGAGTCCCAGGTTTCTCTTAAAGAAGTTTTCCAGAATTACCACATAATCTGTGACTTCTCCATATGGGACAGGGTACAGTCCTTTAACCAATCTAGCTTCAAGAAAAGCTTTCCAATACAATGTGAATTTCAGCCTGCCATGCACCTACCTAAAACCTAAGGATTCTAAGAGGGCAAAAATGGATATCAGGATACACAATTAGCAGTCTCTGATGCAATCCACCCCGTTGACTACCAAAGCATCCAATGCGTACCCTTCTTTGTATACAAGGAACACACTCACAACATCCCCAAGGGAGTCAAACCCAAAGTCCACCTGCTCCCTCCATTCAGCCCAAAGATCAGGTTCTGGGTGATGTGTCATCCTCTCCCTTAAACCCTGATGTGGGCTTTTGTTGTCTAGAAATCTATCCACTTAAAGGCAATCATCATTCCTAATACATCCAAGAGTGGAGTAATAACTGGACAACAACCATTTAAAATGCCAATTGAGACTCCTTTTTTCCATGAATGGAAAGCTAGGTTATTTCAAGTAAACTCTTGTTTTTTTTTTTTTTTTTT